GGCGGTCGCGGCGGAATAGATCGATGGCATTCCATCGTTTGTGGGGCGTTTTCGTTCATAGCCTGGCTATATCTTCGCCGCTGGTCTCTAGTTCGATCGGTTTCTCATCGCTCGCACGCAAAACGCCGAATGTAGTCTTTTATTACATTCGTGTCACACTCGTGCGCGTTATCTCTTTCTAATCTACCCCGCTCGGTCACGCTTTAGTCAATTTCATTCTCGCATAATTCCGCATCCTCTTGCCCCAACACCTGTTGCTATCCTGCCCAGAAGAAGTTCGATTGCCCAATAAAATTCCAACTGTCACCGCGTACGTTGCGCTTCGATCCGATGGGTATTTCGGTACTTTGGAAAAGACGACACCCTAACACCGCTATTCCGTGCTTATTGAAAATCAAAGTTCTCTTCTTATACACGTAGACGAGCGACTCTACGATTGCGTCTGCGAAATAACCATCGAAAGGAGGAAAGATATTTCTGCGAGTTTGGGAGTCGGCGAAGGTCTAAAATCGATTACACGCATGAGATATGAACGACGTCAGGTTTCTGCTTATAGGTCGTAACCTTTGAAAAATGACAGGTAGGGAGGCGGGTCCGGTTTGTGAGACGTTAAAAGACCGCGTTGGAGGTCTTCCGATGGCGAAATCAAGATATTTCATTGACGGCACCGTAATTATTTAACCGACTCCTCCCAGCGTTCGTCGGGTCGATTTGTACCTGCGGCAATGCACGAATATGCGTAAGATTAAACTTGTACCGGTTTTCCAGTCGATTTTTTGGTGGTTGGTGGTCCTGTGTCGGCACTCTTTTGTAATGCGTCCGAGGGTTGCCATAGACGTAAAAGTCTGCCCGTTTGATCACTTTGTATGGTAATTTCATTGGCGCTACAAGCTCCGCGCCTCTCCGGCTCATCCGTTTTGTTATTCAAACTTGGCCCTGCGTTAAAGGCTTTCCGCGGCGCTCTGAAAATTTCGACGCGCAACCGATTCCCTTCTGCTTCGTTAAATTCTTTGAACTCGGCGTACGTTCGCGCGGAGTGAATCGTGTCTCGAATTTACAGCCTCGTTGTTCGAACGATCGCGCGTCATGGTAAAATTTGTCCCGCAATTAGCGAGACGAAAAGAAAAGATGGAGAAGCGAAGCGGCGCGCGAAGAGCGGCTCGGAA